GAAATATAATATATGCTAATATATCCGGACCAATGGTACACCGTCTCATTGCAAATTTAGAGGTACATGTTTTTATTTGCAATTTAAATCATGCAAGTTCTTTTATTGCAAAAACCTTAATTTTCTTCTCACTTAAGCCATGTAACTTTCAAATCTATTTACAAATGTTCCATGCCAATCACCATTCTTTTCATTTCCATCTTGAGAGTAACAAGTAACAGTAAAAGAATAGTTAAAGAGAATCATTTTGACATTTTCATTTATATTATGTGGTTGGGGTGTGAAGTCCAAAAGGTATGCAGAATCTTGCTAAAAAATGAAGCTACGTGACAAAAAATAGGTCCGAAGTAGGAAAAAAATTATTCGTAAACAAAGACTAATCCATGTCAGTATGGGGTACCCTACAATCACCTCTCCAATGAGGCCAACCGGAAAGATACACCTTTTTAATACATTATCAGATGAAGATACTTAGGTACATTATCAGACGAATTTGTCTGATAAATTGTCATAGTATTCAGATTCTTTGCAGATGAACCCATAGTTGAAATATGTGGTTCGAAAAGTTGATAAAAGAGGATTAATCAGAAATGCAAGGAAGACCAAAAGGCTTCTGGCTCGAAAATTATATACCACATAATTCAGTAGAAGTGAACACAAAAAATGCTAAGCTACCAATAAATAGCAAATAGTATATCCGTATCAAGTCATTTAAACGTAGGTGAATCCAAATGTATATAAATTGAACAAGAATGGAGGAGCATACCCTTTCCACTAGATTTCCATCACTGGGTCCTTTAAGTGACAAAGATGTTATTCGGGGTTCATGTAAAACTAGATTTTTTTCGTGGTACTGCCATCGGGTGAAGCTACCACATGATCTGATCTATCCTCAAAAAAGTGAGAAAGGTTAAGATCATGCTGGCAGCTTCAGCCGATACTAGTGCACGGTGATAGAACGAGCTATCTGTTCTCATTATAGTAGAGTAAGCAAAAGGAGACTATCTACTTTCTCTCCTCCTTCTGCAAGAGGCTTACCTGGAGAAGAGAGGGCTTATGACAATAAATAGAGGTCCCGAGGAGGAGGGATCAAAGGGGAATATGGTGCTAAAAGATAGAGAATTGGCGAAGGAAAATCTTTGCAAAATCAGAGGATCTAAATTGAATATTATCATGCCATTAGTTAGTGACAGTTTCTATTTATTGTAAGAGCATTTAGTAACTTTAGGGTTTGGAGGGTAGGGGGGCCATTTCATGGCCAGATGCATAGTCTTCTCCCTATTTGCATATCTCTGTGAGTTTGATTCAGTAATTATTTAGGTGGGTGAATGTTATATATTTGAGAAGGCATCTACTATATATATACAGGCAATTGTTGTTCCTTGGCCTGCTGAGGCACATTCTGCGATTTACTTCCCTCACAAAGCTCTAGAAACGGGACGGTGGGAGCCCTCAAGGTTGGAGTTCAACCCTACTATATATATATATATATATATATATGAGATTGCATAAAAGAAGAGATGTTGTGAGACTCTTTCTTTGGGATTTATTAAAGTATTGTTCATTTCATCTAAAAGTTTAAATTGTTAGAGAGATGCTATGTAACACCTTGAAACTTTATGGCTCTAGAGATTATTGGTCTAGTCAAGCCTTTATAGCGATGCCTAATAGCTAATTTGGATCTACATGGATATCTTTATAGTCGAGAAAACAAAGTGGAAACAAATATAAATTTATACTTTTATTTAATTGAGTCAAAATGGTTAGCTAATGATGGAATCAATTGCCCTATTAATATTAGGCTCTCTTTTTTTTAAAGCTAGAATTAAATGACGAATTTTGGAGCCAATAATAACAATAACTACTTACTTAATAATATTAGTTATCGATTTATATCATATTACTATAGCAATATTAGACTCATTTGATAAATCATAATAAATTATGTATATTAGAATTGAGATAAAGCTAATTTGGATAAGATTGAATTAAGATTTGAACGATTGAAGAAATATTATTGAAAACAAATCTTAAGGGATTTATTTGACTTGCTAGTTAATGTATTTATTCCTATCATGATTCCCTTATTAGTTAGTTAAGGAAGGATATGGAATCAGCCATAACCAAACAAGAATTTATGCGATTAAGTCCTACTGTAATCAAATTCTATTAAAGTTGTCAACTTTTTTGCACTCGATTGATAAATAGAATAAATACTAGCTTTGTAGAAATTAAATACGAGTTTGATTTTTTAGTTATTTAAATTGTTTGTTTGCATTTATATAATCATGATTGTCCATAATTTAGAAATTATTTAATCCAATTTCTGCCTTTCCCCCTTGAAATTCATTATAGCAAATACAGTTTCCTCCTGTGTACACGTGTGTTGTATTTTTGCAAAGTAATATTATATTATATAATGTATTTTATCTTTGTTTTAATCCTATCACTTGTGCTATCATCATTTTGAATTAAAAAGCGATAAGGGACACGTTTGCATTTAACCAATAGAACAGGTACACTCCATTTATTTTCTACAAATCAAAACTGAAATTGTACATGTCGTAACTCTATAAATCTAACCACACAATGATTACTCTTGATTTATAATTATCCTTCATATAATTTGGATAGATTTCAATCTTATAGAGGATAATAACTAATACAATTCTAACACTTATCAACTACTTTATGTTGCCTATAAATACTAATGCCATACACATATTTTGCCAAGAACACCATTCCTTTAACTTTGGTTCTGTTCTTTAAATTCAATAGCTTCCTTACTTTTTAATGTCCATCTATTCCACGCACATACACAGTTTCTCAGTTTCAAAGGCATCAAGACTCCTTTTTTTTTTTTTACTATAAATATTCTGGAAAAGTCAAATTGTTGACACATTTTAAAAGTAGAAAACCATTCTCCATCTTTAATTACGTTCAAGGAAGCCAAGAAGTTTGCGAATTGAAATATTCTGTTGGATTATTCTTTCAAAAATTAGTTGATTTGACGAGGTAGGATACTATGTGCAAGTTGTTCCGTCCTTTCAATATTATAATTTTTGACGTGATTTATTTCATGAAATGCTAATTGAGAAATGAAATGTGAGATCTCCTCGGGTCTTCTCAAATATGTTAGAGTATTCGATTGATCACCAATTGCTCTTGATGAAATGATGGTATGGAATGTTGTAAATTCATGTTTTAAAAGTTATTATATTGTTTGGACGCACGTATCCTATTGAGTATAAATTACTCATTCCTTCAATTTTAAAATTTCAGGTTAGATCGGTCGACATGAATGGTGGCTGAGCGATGCGCAGGCTGCCAAGTAAAGAAATTTTCAAGAAAACATTTAAAATAATTCTTCTAGGACATTTTGTGTTTCCATTTAACGTTTCATATTACCTGACGATACATTTATTTGATTTAGCCTTTGAGTATTAAATAAATTAGGAGTTTTAAAGTTCCAATTTATATTTCCACTTGATGTATGTTTATAAAATGATATCGGTAACACCTCAAGTTTAAATCGATAAAATTTGAGGCGTATATCGTCAAGTAATATGAAATGTTAAATGGAAATCAATGGAAACACAAAATGTCCTAGAAGAATTATTTTAAATGTTTTCTTGAAAATTCTTTACTTGGCAACCCGCGCGTCGCTTAGCCACCATCCATGTCGACCGATCCAACTTGACATGTTAAAATTGAAGGAATGAATAATTTATACTCTATAGGATACGTGCGTCCAAACAATATAATAAGTTTTAAAACATGAATTTACAACATTCCATACCATCATTTGATCAAGAGAAATCGGTGATCAATCGAATACTCTAAAATATTTGAGAAGACCCGAAGAAGATCTCACATTTCATTTCACTTCATAGAGACCCGCAGGTCAATTAGCATTTCATGAAATAAATTACATCAAAAATTATAATATTGAAATGAAGATACAACTTATACATAGTATCCTACCTTATCAAATAAATGTTGAAAGAAATCCAAGAGTCACGTTCCAATTGTTTTCTTTTATTTCCTGCTTACGAATTGTTGTCTTGTATGGGTACGTAATAGATGAAATTAAAGAGGCAAGAGAATTATAGTTTTGGTAGAATATGAATATATAATAGGGGATTTCTGTTGAACTTAAAGAATGAAATCAAAATAAAGGAAATGGGGTTGATGGCAAAAACATGTGTATGGCTTTAGTATTTATAGGCAAACATAAGGTAGTTGATAAGGGTTAGGATAATTTGCTTGGATTTTATATTTCAAATATTGATCACTCTATCCATATATGATTTTCTTTAAAATACTAACCATATTTATCCACATGCTATGTAAACAAAATTTGATACAAATATCCTTTTGTGATTTAAACCAAAAAAAGAAAAAGAAAAAAGAAATTGATTAAGATTGGATTAGATATATTCTCAACTTAAAGATATGTCAATCGCACATAAAATAATTCTATAACAAATTTATTTGAATTTAAAAAATTATAATCTCATTTCATATATTATATACAAGATCATGGTTTATGAAAACCCAACCAATCCACATGCCAAAACAAAAAGGGACACATTTTGATTGCTGTGAGCTTAAACATATTTGATAGAATGTAAGTGTACATCAATAGCCAAAAATGATTTTGTTATAGTGGATGGGATAACAGAAATTGGATGTGGTTAAATCATTTTCCAAATTAAAGATAATCAAGATTATATAACTAAAATATTATATTCTTTTCCTAATTATCTTAAAAGACAACCTTTTGCTAATCAAGAAAACTAACTTTGTTATAATAGATTTCAATTGGAAAACGGAATTAGATAATATTCCAACTTTTTCAAATTAATAAAGATAAACGTGATTATTATAAAATATTATAACTTTTTGCTAATTGTCTTAAAAGATGCATTAAAAATACATATTAAATAAGTTTCTTTGAATTTATTTATTCTCAATTAAGTTATCATTATCCATGCATGCACACATTAAGATAAGCTGGACTCCTAATTGCATTGGATATAAGGCTTAATTTATTTTATTGCAAACAAACAATTCAAATAACTAATAAGACTCTTATTTAATTTCCACGAAAGTGGTATTTATTCCCTTAATCTTTGATCGCTATAACATAATTTAGTCTTAACCAAATTAACTTTATCTCAATTCTAATATACATAATTAATTATGATCTATCAAATGAGTCCAATATTATTATAGTAATGTGGTCTAAATCGATAACTAATATTATTAACCACGTAGCTATTATTATTGGCTCCATAATTCATCATTTAATTCGAGCTTTAAAAAAAAAAAAGAGCTTAATATTGATAGGGCAATTGATTCCATCATTAGCTAACCATTTCGACTCAATTAAATAAAAGTATAAATTTATATTTGTTTCCACTTTGTTTCCTCAACTATAAAGATATTTATGTAGATCCAAATTAGCCATTAGTCATCGCCATAAAGGCTTGACTAGACCAATAATCTCAAGAGCCACTTGCATTTAACCAATAGAACAGGTAGACTCCATTTATTTTCTACAAATCAAAACTGAAATTGTACATGTTGACCTCGAAAATTGGTCATTCCACGTGGCCAACCGAGAGCTACTCCACGTATTCCTCCTTACGCACAATCAACGAATGATCAGACGCACACGGTCGGGACCAGCGAGAGTGGTGGCGGCCGTATACACTCCGACGGTCAAGTCAGGTTTAAGTGGTTGGAACAGTACCCAGAGGCTGTGCAAATCAATAATAAGGGGGAGGAGAAAATATATAAGCTTGCTATGGAGTGCTATGTAGTAAGAGTTTCATTCCCTTTATCTCTTGCCAAACCTTGGGTATTTATAGGTGGTATGAGTTATTGGATGTGGGACGCGTGTATACATCTGACGGTACGAGGCGCCCGCTCATAGGCGTCAATCAGCTGCGTCCGTAGAGTGAGCGAACAGCTTGTTTCTTCTGAGTTGAATTGACATAAAGTTGATAAGTCACATCAACTAGCCTTATGGAGACGTCAAATCAATTTAAACCTTAGGTACCGGAAGGATCTTCGCACAAATCTCTTTCTGAAATTGGCTGCGGATCTTCTAACCGGGGTCCACTTGGCCTCAACCTTGAAGGGGGCGAGGTGCTTCAGTCAGGTCAGTGATACCATTTCAGAAACACTTTGGACGAGTCTTTATCAGGTTGGAATATATTGTGGTACGTGTTCCGAGGCGTATCAAATCGGAGCGTAACAGTAGTCCCCCAAGTCCAGGTATAAATATTTATATCATGGGTGGACTTGCTTTCCTGACCAGACCGCAACTCATGGGAGTTTTGGGGGTTGATCTTTTACAGTAATCGAGGTTATGATCCTAGGCAAATGTGCCAAAGTTTCTTTATTGTGTAAGGGAAAAAAGCGACGTCCGAGGCTGTAATCTGCATGGCACTTCGAGTGAGGAGCTCATCTGCCACCGGTGCGCTGACCCGTAGGGCCAACACGTTGGGAGATGGCTAAAACTTTGTAAAACAGGGAGGTAACGGAGCATCCGAAGTGATGACCCACAGGGGGCTTCGCCTCAAGTGCGTCCAAGCTTTGTAAAGTCAAGTGAGGAGCTCATCTGTCACCGGTGCGCTGACCCACAGGGCCGACGCGTTGGGAGATGGCTAAAACTTTGTAAAGCATGGGAGGGAACGCAGCATTCGGGACGATGACCCACAGGGGGCTTTGCGTCAGGTGCGTCCAAACTTTGTAAAGTTGAGTGAAGAGCTCATCTGCCACCGGTGCACTGACCCACAGGGCCGACGCGTTGGGAGATGGCTAAAACTTTGTAAAGCATGGGAGGGAACGCAGCATCCGAAGAGATGACCCACAGGGGGCTTCGCGTCAGGTGCGTCCAAGCTTTGTAAAGTTGAGTGAGGAGCTGGATCCGAGGCGATTCAAACGTCAAATGATTTGACAACTGTTGTGTGTTTCTAAGGTGACAGTTGGGTGCCATGCCCATTCTCCTAAAAGGCTGCTGCGGCTACTTATTATTATTGACGGCTGGTTGTAATCGAGGTGACGCATTTTAAGCAAGCGTGAATGTCACAGCGACATCCTGGGCATAGATCAAATCTGACGTTTCATTTCAACGGCCTAGATTGAAGATGCGATGAACGACTTAGATTGATCGCATTTGAATTCAACGGTGGAGATCGGATTTGTCTTTCTATAAAAGGAGGACTCTGAGATTTTCTTAGGCTTTCTACCCTTGTAAAACAAACACTATATTTTGCTCTCAAGTCATTGGCGATTTCCGACGTTTTCTAAGCAATTCCGACGAGAAAATTGAACTTTCGGTGACCTTACACCATTTCCGGCTAGGAAAACCTCCAAACTCGTAAGTTTCAGTACCTTTTAGGGCTTTTAAATTTTGAAAGAGTGGCCTCGGAGGGGAGTTCTGGTTCGGGGAGGGGGTGAGAACTAGTGAGGATGGACAAGTCCATCGTGGCGACCTCCTCAGAAACAGCCGAGGCAATAATAGGGGGGAAAATATATGGAAGCGACTGGATAGCCCAACAGATACTTCTGTGCATTGGAGGACATCGGATTACCCATCCAAATTAAGAGAGGCCGACCTGGAGAGACTTAGGATAGAGTATAGGATCCCTGATAGCATAGATTTGATCCTCCCCGGGCCGGAAGAGAGAGCTTGCTACCCTAAACCGGGCTGTGTGGCCATTAGCGAGGAGATCCTTATGGCCGAACTTAGGCTGCCAGTTCACCCGTTCTTTAGGATGGTGCTTAGATCCTATGGGCTAGCCCCGACATAGCTCAATCCGAACTCCTGGAGCCAAATGGTGGGCTCCTGGATGTTGTGGAAAGAGGCGTCATTAGGGGTGGAGATGCCCCTCTCCGTCTTCTAGACCCTTTATGTATCTAAGGTAACTGCTGGGAGGGATAAGACTCGAGGATGGTATTACCTTACTTCATGGGGTTCCCACACTCCATTTGTGCTCGATCTGTCAAGCTCCATCAAAGAATGGAAGAGCTCATGGTGTTGGGCCGCAAGGCGATGGGACACAATGGAGGGGGACCCCCTAGCGCCTCTTACGGTCCCGACGAAGTACTCAACACTTAGTGAGTATAGTAGTTGTTTTTCCTTATATTTCTCTTCGGTTCGAATTGCGCCTAACATTTACATTTCTTTTGTAGGTGCTCTTCCTCGGTGCGAGCTGTCATTCAAGGATTTTGAAACCATCTGCATCATTTATCAGCTGCCTCAAAAGAAGAGGTCTTACCATAGGCTGATCCAAAAGAACATCCACTTCATTACTCACAATCTGATGGCATCCCAAGGTAACTGGACCGAAGTCTTTGTTTCTTATTCCGAACTCTCAACACTTGTACTAATTCCTTATTCGCCCTTTGTAGACAACTTTAATAAGAAGATGCCGGTGCACCCCGACTTTAAGACCATCCAG